TTAGGAAAATCATCATCACATGTGTTGGATTTGCTTTATAATTCACCTAGTTCCACTTGTACATGGAAATATATTTGTATGCAAGAATTTTGGCCAAAATGGTGACAAATACACACATAGGAGGCAAGTGGACGTGGCAGGAGGCCTTGGGGGCACTTGGGCCCACCGGCCAGCCCCACAAGTGCGTCGCCCAGCCCCCTAAGTGCCACCTTGGCACTGGCCACATCACCAATCCATGGGAGCTGCTCCACAAGCTCTCCCATGCGTTGATTTAAGTCGGTTTGCATCAATGGTCACGATGGAGAGGTCTTGGATCCCTGGGTCCACTATCATACTCTTGGAGGGCTCCAACCGACATTGGAACCGCTTTACCGACCAAATCTTTGCAAGTGCTGGCATCACAACCGCCTTTGGGAGGCAACCAAGGCCCTACGATCAAAAGGCGGTGGAATCAAGGGCCGGCCGATGCCCCTACCATGTCGCCCGGCGCTCAAGTTACCTCCACTGCCTTACTTGACATCTATAAGTACCTTCCCTGCAGCAACCGACCTTGGAGAGCTATAAATAGTAGTGTGAGGCGCCATTTGTAAACACCCCCATTCATTCCATCACTCCAAGTGAGAGTGGTAGCTAGGCCAAGCTCTGTAGCTCTACTAGTTAGAAGTAGAAAATAGGGAGAGAGTGAGGAGAAGCTTGGGGAGGAGCCTGGGGCTGTCGGCATCCTCTCCACTTGTGCTTCAGCGGATGAAACTCTTCTTCGAGTGAAGTACGGCATCTTCTGTGTGGTAACTCTGCTCTTTTGCATTACTTAAGTATTATTTATATTATTGTGTTTACTAGTTTCACCGTTTGGTTAGAGTGCTCTAAGTCTCATTTCATCGTGTACAGGATTAGAGTAGTGAGTCTATAGATTAAACATGGTGCTTAGGCTATAGCTTACCTGTGTTTACGGCTAGGCCTCCGGATAGATTGTGGTAGGTGGCAGGTGGTGACAGCCCTGTCCATACTTTGTATTCCTCCATGATAGGTATAGTTATTAAATCATAGGGCTCATGGTGCTTTTGTGTCTAATCAACCCTTTTGGTGAGGTTAGGGTAGGTACACCTGAAGTAAACAACCATGATATAGTATTCATTAGTCTTGCCTTAGTTCAGAGAAACCACATATATCCTCTCTACCTATTATTTTATCCTTGTTCTATCCTTGGATAAACTTAGTTCATAGTCTAGTTCACTTCGCATTCCCCGTGGAAATACGATACATTGGAATACTCTCAGGTGAAAGCTACATTGACATCCGTGCGCTTGCGGATTTATCTGTTTGTCATATCTAGTGTCAACAGTAATGTAGTATGGAAGCTGAAAAGTTAGGAATCTCTACTACAGTAACAACATTTAGACGGTTAGAGCATCTCCAATAGTTCCTGAAAACATTTTTAATTGATGAGTTTTCCATGTGACTAAAAAAGTTGGGAGCATATTTGTTGGGTTCCTCCAATAGTTTCCAAAATCTTAAGCCTAAAATATAGAAGACAATTTTACATCAGAAATTCTATACTATTTTTAAATTATCCTAACCAATTTTATATTTGTTTTCTCTCTTATACATTTGCATCCGGAACCATTTCATACTCTTTATTCTTTCTCACGCCCTTCCACCTTAGATTGGATGATGGATACGCGCGTGGTAGGCGCGCAGATATATCCGAGCGGTCGGTCGACTTTCCCAAGCGCGGAAGGATTGGGAGTTGAGATAGGGAGTTGTTGGAGAGCAATTTCTTTCAATCTTGCCAAAAAATCAAGATTAGGAGTTATTTTTGGAAACTCTTGGAGATGCTCTTACAAACCTAAGAATGAAGAAGCTGTGGAAAAATAGGATGTTGGATTCGAATGATGGTAATATTGTTCTTGTGGTTAGCTTATCGATCACAACAAGTTTACTAACTAGACAAGTTATCAAGAAGATGTGGAAGGAGAAGAGAAATGTGTTCTTGGTAGGGTGGCTTAATCTAGATTCGTTTGGGTGTGATTTAAGGAAACACTTAGCTTGGATAAGTGTCCTAATAGCATGAAAACTGGATTATAATGAGGTGTAGGAATCATGAGATTTATTTTTCTGGTGTGGGTTTAGTTGGTTAGGCTTTATGGACCATAGATATAAATTGATGACCGATGTTTTTGTGCACGCTAGCTGAACTATCAATATCAACTCTTTTATTACTGATGATACGGCGCGAGTCAATGGAAGGCTACTTACAATGCCGGCTGGATATATAGGCTGGTGGGGTGTAATAAAAATATTGATGGGAGACTTTACAAAGAGACTACGCAGCCAACACAGGCGTCTTCTGAAGATTTCATTGGTTTCTTGTTTCAGTGTCATGTCAACGTAATTTTTTTTCTTTTTTGCGTGATGACTGGATGAGTCATGAGTGGCTTGAATTATCTTTTTTTCAATGAAAACTGTGAGTTACTACGTGAATTTGGGCTGGGCTTACACGTGCTGACCTGAGACACACCAGCACGTGGACCGGGCCTGAATGCCCAGTTCACGCCGGCACGTGGACCAGGCCAGAGGCAGGTCGCAAAGCCGAGGCCGACAGACAGGGCCCAAATGGTATGTGTCTCCAGGGGGCCGTATTCCTTCTTGGGTAGATGCTGTGCGTTGGGCCGTTGGCCCGAGGTTGCGGGCCTTGCTGTGCTGACTGCTGAGGTAGAAATCAGAATCAGGACCAACTTCTCTGAACAGCCCGTTTGTTCTCTATACAAAACAGCGGATCCTGTAGAGTGACTGTAGTGCCAAAGGACTGTTGTTGTTACACCTCAAACTGCCAAGTGATTACACGTAACCGGTTGTTGTTTAGGCGTTGTTTGGTTCACCGGACTAAATTTTAGTCCCTATCACATCGGATGTTTAATACTAATTTAAAGTATTAAACATAGATTAATTATAAAACTAATTGCACAGATAGAGACTAATTTGTAAGACAAATCTATTAAACTTAATTATAGTCCATGATTTGACAATGTCACTATAAAAAATCTAGGTTTGTATGACAAATTGAAAAATATCATGGTAAATATAGGATTTGTCATAAAAAGAATCTTTTGACGAAAAAGCAGCGTCATGCCGGTCGTCATATAACGACCGTAACAAAAAGTACCTTGTGACGATAATATGGAAAACCATCACAAAATGTGATGACCTTTTATGACGGTTTTTTTGTGTTGTCATATATTATTGTCATTTAATGACGACTGAACTGTCACATATTGGTTGGTCAACTCGTCACCTAATACATGAACCGTCACAAATTGTACATTAGGAGCCCTGATTTAGACTAGTTATTGTGACGACACGGTAACGTCACATATAATTGTGCAGATTTTGTGACATTTTGATTGTGTCTTGTTATGTATAGTAGTTAGAGATATCTTCAGACAATTGTAGGACATCATAAATTTTCCTTTCATTCGATGACGAAAGTGGCAGCCATATGTGCTAATTCAATGATGAAAGTCACAAAAATCTTTCATCATAGCTCAAAAGCATACACATATCAGCCAACATTCTCACCACAACTCATAAATCATACAAGATTCAGCCAAGCCATCATAGTCATACATTCCAGAGCATAAGATAGTGCTTGTAGGTTCAAACATCACATAGTTCCAAGTTCCACCACACAGGTTCTAACGGTTCCACCACATAGGTTCAAACATACAAACAGATTGCACATAGGTTCTGACAACACAGTGCACAATGTTGCAACAGAGAAATTTTGGTGTTCTAGCAAGGTAGCAAAAGCTTAGGCAAAGGCATCATCAACAGAAACTACATTTAGACCTACCTCAATCTTTCTGAAGTTTCAGCATAGCTCGTAGCAGTGCATTAGTCTCTTCAAACTTGGTATGCATCCCCTTCACTTCTTCTTGGATCTGGCACAGTAAATTTTGGTTTTCTTCAAGTGCTGCTTGGTTGGCTTCAAGTGAGGCCTACTGAGCAAGAAGCGGTGCTTCCAACTATTCCTGCTTCCTAGCAGCTTCCTCTCTTTTGCTTGGAGTGTTGCCTCAAACTAAGCTTACAGGCGTGCTTCTGCGGGCTGTCGATGTAGACCGGGTAGTCTTCGACACTCGAGCAACACCAATGTTTGGAAGGAAGGTGGATGAATGGCTGATCTGGCTCAAACTGTCAACAACAATCTTGGAGGAGACTTTTGTGCTTCTCCTTCTTCTGGTTCTCTTGCCTTCTCTACAACCATATGTTCCTACATAGAATTAATCCACTTAACAAGGCCATACAACAGTGTTCAATCAGGCATTTACTTGAGTACAGTACATGTATCCAATAATTATGTAACTTACATATATCTTATTTGCAAGAGGAGTACGACCATTTTGCGGACTATTCATACATTCCCAAAGAAATCAACAGGATCTGGATCCATGTTGTTGTACTTAGGGCACTACAGCATGTCAAAAATTTGGATTACAATGATACATGTGAAGGTAAAGAGAGGGCTAGACAAACATGGGATATAAGATTAGCCATAAATTATTTTTATATGTCAACAGCAAGATACCAAAATATGTATTCACTACGGATCATACAAGTATCGGCCTCCAGATTTTTTATGCCAACAACAAATGCAATCACTAGCATAGTCAACTAATTGCTACTATGCTTTGACAATCAACATTCACATGTATTTGATTCCCAGTTGACCATTGACATAAAAAAATTGTGCATCAATGCAACCTGGACAGATTCGATCCAACCAAACATCAGGCAATCAGGTTTGTCTTAATGATATCAGTGCATGCAGCTTTGCTTGGTTCCTCATTCCTAACATCCACATCCAACCTTGATTGAAGCCACACAAATGAATTATTAGACATAATTTTCACATGGGAGTATTGTAATGCATGAAAATATTTGGAAGAATAAAATAGTTGTCTCACCACCACTTTCCTAAGCACTTTTGATACTTCTGCCTACCCCTACTCATTATCATAGTCTTTCCAAGATGTGTAGATAGGCAGGTTGTCTCTAAGGGCAACACCACATTCTAATGCTAGCTTCGCGGCTTGAAGTGGGACCTCAGGTCTTTTCTTCCCTTCAGCCACCTCGATAGCCAGCTTCTTTCCTCTATTAATCATCTTCTCTAAGCCATGACCCATGGTTTTCTTGTGGACATTCTTTTGGGGTGCTGCATTGGCAAATAATAATAGAAATGTTTTATTATAGCAGTAGCAATTGTAGATATTGAATGGAGAAACTAATGCTTGGAAACACATATTGTTTACCTGGAACTGAGTCATGGACTGGTTCTCCTTCAGTTGTATGACCCTCTGAATTAGTAGCATCAAATTGCTTAGCCAACTCATTGATGTCATTGCTTTGCCTAGAGCTTTGTCCATCTGGCGAGTTGTCCGTGGGAACTGTTTGGTTAACACTGTTTGTGGGAGTAGATTGCTGAGACAGGTTAGTAGTGGGTCTGGTAGGACTAGGCACTCTATTTGCACCAGGCGAAGACATGGTTGCACTACTTCTGGTGAATCTAGGAGGACTAGGCACTGTGTTTGGACTAGGCAAAGACATGGCTGCACTGGTCCTGGTGAATCTAGGAGAATTAGGCACTGTGTTTATAGTTTCTAGGATCTGGTTGGCGCTTGTAGTGAGATGGTCTTGCAAATGGCTACAACTAGAAATGGCATTTATATTAGGGTTGGCTTTCAAATTGTTCCTAGTAGGCAAGTTTTATCTTGGCCTAAGTGGCAGACGGCCTCTAGTGGTCCTAGTGGTTGCACCAGGCGAAGACATGGCTGCACTCGCCCTGGCCCTAGTGAATATGGTCTAGCACATTCAAGCACCGAACACCTTATAAGTCTAGACCATTCCCACTCCACGACCTGTGCAGGAGGAAGGATCCAGGGCCGGCGGGTCAGGCGGGAAACGAAGAAAGCGAGTCCGAGACGACAAACTAATCCATGCACGAAAATGACACGTACGACGCTCACGCGAACTAGTCTGCACACACCACTTTGATTGTTTTGCTTGCTAATAAAGCATAATATATACTGTATGTGTGAGAGACCAACGACAGATGATGAGAACTCTGACCAAAGTGGGGGTTTTGAGTTACCCTGAATTGAAGCAACGCAAGTACGTGAGCCGGCTGTCTTCTATTTTCACTAGCTAATAATGGAGTACGTTGTTTGAGACAACTATTTGTCAGGTGCCATTTCTAGCTGCATGTCATCGGAGAGGTACAGTAGGATGTGATCACACATGCTTGCAATAATTGGCCCTCTTCGCTTTCTTTTATAATCTATCTTTTTAGTTTGTTTTTTTTCAGTCAGAATAGTTTTTTTTCTCACACCAAATTAGTTAGGAACAATATTTCAATTTTTTTTTCAACGAAACAAATGAGCCATTAATGATGATTCAATCGACGTAGGGCAGTAGGGGAAATTCTGGTACTTGGTAAGTAGCCGTCATGTTGTTGCTAGTCCCACGACTACAGCAGTATGTATGCATGTTGAAAGGAGGACATGGCATGCAGAGCTTTACTGCTTTATTAGTCAGGTTATTAGGAACACATCCATTCCGTCCACACGGAAGTAGATTCAGCAGTGAATGGGACGCGTACAGTGCTGCAATGTGCCAACCACCAACAGTCTGATCGGATGTGCATGCATGCATGCATGAATGAAAACGCTACGAATGGATTGGAATGTGCATGCATGGTTGGTGAGCAATTTTAAACTCAAAGACTCGGCAGAGTTCTGAAGACCACACGCTACATAATTGGACATCAATGTCGGTGTCATCACTACTGAATTAAAAAAATCAATAGTGATAGTTCATCACTATCGGTTTTTGTTAAAACCGGCAGTGATAGGACCAACCGACACAAATATTTGGGTATTCACTGTCGGTTCATATCAGTGTCAGTTTTAGCTAAGAACCGACAGTGATATTGAATCATCACTACCGATTTTAGCCAAGAACCGACACCGATACTATCACTGTCGGTTCGTGGCTCGAACCGACAGTGATATGCTGTAAGAAAACTTCATAAGTTTCTCATATGATGTCCGATGAAGATAAACTTTATATCAAAGTTTTAGTACTCGACGAGATCTACAACTTTATAGTTCAGACATTTTTAATTTGAGATCGTTTGGATGTCCAAATATTTTCATTTGAAATAATCTATCTAACGAAAATTACGTTTAATTTCTAAAATTTAAAATTTGAATTTTTCAAACGGCCTTAGATGGATAAATGTCCAAAATAAAAGTTGTAGATCTCGAAAAGTTATGCAACTTTGTAGTTGAAAACTTTTTTATTTGAGATCATTTACTACTTAAAAATGATGTTTGAAATTAAAATTTGAAATTATTGAATAACTCTGATTTTTCTTTTTAATCTCTCGGCTAAAACTTGTAACTAATCTTTCTCTCTCATACTAACTTCAAATTTGATGATTTTTTTTAAAAAAAATTATAAAATCATGCTCTATCAATTTATTGTGTTCTTATCGCTATTATTTTATCCATCTTTTCATGTGACTGTGTTTTATCTATTTGAATTTCAAAAAATAGCAACTTTAAACGTTATTTTGGAACACTAAATGATTTCAGCTGAAAAAATCATGAACATAGAAGTTGTAGAACTTATCAAGATCTATAAGTTTTATTTTGGTCATTTCTTCATCCGCTAAAGTAGTAATAACATTGTTCACAAAATTTATATATCTCTCTTATAGTTTCATAAATAATAAGAGGGATATATAACATTTGTGAACAATATCACTACCACTATGTCGGATGAATAAATGATCAAATGACTAAAATAGAAGTTGTAGATCTCGAAAAGTTATGAAACTCTGTAGTTGACAACTTTTTGATTTGAAATCAACTTGTTAAGGAAAATTACGTTTGAATTTTTAAAATTTGAAATTTAAATTTTGTAAACGACTTCAAATGGAGAAACTATCAAAATAAAAGTTGTAGATCCCAAAAAGTTATGAAACTTTGTAGTTGACAACTTTTTGATTGAAACCATCTTCTCAAGGAAAACTACGTTTGAATTTCAAAAAATTTGAAATTTAAATTTTTTAAACGACCTCGGATGGATAAACAGCAAAAACGAAATTTGTAGATCTCAAAAAGTTATGAAACTTTGTAGTTGATAACTTCTTTATTTGAAATCATTTTGTCATGGAAAACTACGTTTAAAATTTTCAAATTTGAAATTTAAATTTTGTAAACAACTCGGATGGAGAAACTACCAAAATGAAAGTTGTAGATCTTGAAAAGTTATAAAACTTTATAGTTGACAACTTTTTCATTTTAATTTATTAAGGTCCTAAATACTCATTTTAAAATTAGATAAATATAAAATAACTAGGATGAAAATCTCATTTAGACATAGACAGCTTGCAGGTGGAGTGATTAGGGGTCAAGACGCGAAGCAGGACGACAATGGTTCGAGCACCGATGGCCGCGAAACACGCGTTTTTTGGGCGAAAAATTGCTTGACTTGTCACTTGCGACGCGCGAACGTGTGACTGTCCAGGGGGCCTCTCTCGTATTAAAAAAATTCCTATTTTTTCAATGAATATTTTGGCTTTCCTAGAAACCACATCACTACCCGTTCACATCACTATCGGTTCCCACATCACTGCCGATATATCACTGCCGATTCAAAATCCGACAGTGAAGGGGGGTTTTGAACCGACAGTGATGTTAAGATTTAGGGTAGTGACACAACCATACCAAAATAGTGGTGTCAAGCCCAAGTTTAAGACTTTGCTGTGGAAAAACGTAACACTACTGCAGAACACCAGATGCCTCTCGACCCATCAGCAGTTCAGTACCTGATGTGCGAGAGCCAAGTGGATTGACTGCTACTGTTTTACAGAGTCCTCCTCGGAGAAACTTTTCATAATTTTGATGCAGTCTCTTGTCTATTTGCCCGACAGACTTGGTAGTTCCACATATAGACATGAAGTGGCAAAGCTTTGAGGATGAGGGGCGAAGCGAGGAAGGGATATTGGATTTTCAAGCCCTTGGCCCCGACGTATTGAAGGTAGCCTATAAAAATCAAGATTATAGGGACTTACACTGATCGATCCTCTTTGAAAGGAACATGCCTCCAACAGTGAATTGGCTTCATTACCGAGTAACTTTGTGTACATATGCTTTAGGTGTTCCTTGACAAGTTCTCTTACACGCACAACCAAGTAGACACAAGTGACAGCACAAATATATGGTATAAATGGAGATTTGTTTCCTAAAGTTTAAGTCCCCACTTGGACCATACATCTCCGTTAAGAAAGCTGAGTGACAAACTGCGGTCAAGATCCATCCAGGTTGCTCTCAACCACTCAACCACTAGATGATTTTTCCCTTCTTGGGGCAGGATCGCAGCACACACAAATATCATGTGGCACTTCACATGTTGGGTTCTCACCAGCGATGCTTAGCCATCTAGGGGCAAAGCTCCAAGAGTAACAAATGTTGTAATGATACAAAGTGATCAAGGCTTAGGGTCAGCCTAGAAGTGCCCACACAAGCTCACACAATTAAATCTCACTCTCCAATCCCAAGGATATCTCCTTTTCACTAAAATCTCACAAAGGGAGGATTAGGGGATCTCTCAAGGCTATTCTAAAGTTTTGGAGCATAGAAGGGGTATAAGTAGCTCTCATACAAAAACTAGTTGTTGGGCTACTGTTAGTGAAAATTGGCCTAGACGATTTTCACGTTTTAGCTGTTACTATTTTGAAACCCCTAGGAAATTAGCCTTTCTTTACCAGCCTTTGCCCACTCTTTTCTAAAAGTAGAGTCAAGCATTCAAGTTTCACACTAGGGTTGAATTGAGCACATTTAGACCTTCTATAGTAACCAGTGTTGCATCTGTCTACCTATACTCGAGATCAGATATATACAATTAAATCACATTTGAACCTCTGTTTCTTGAAATTGTGCTGTCAATTAATCTTCAATATTGAGAACCCTCAACACTATCATTGTTGTGAGAATTCTTAAGCTAATGACTTAGGATATTTCAAACATATGATCAAGACTACACTTTTCATCCAAAAGTCACTTCTTCATATGATTCAACAACGATTTGAATCTCCACATAGCATGGCCCATCATAGCTCAATTAGTTCATCGACTAAATGCAAGTACTCTCTTCTTCATCATAGTCATGGTGCCACCAAGCCATTGCCCCTTCATTTTTGTTTAGTACCTCAAGGCTCTCTCCTTGCTACCTTCACCCTGTCGAGCCATCCTCAAGTGACACCTTGTCTTGAGTCAACATTAGCAGTCAATTGAAAAACATTTCTTCAATATCATGACTTTTGTTTGAATATCTTCATGTTTATCAACCTTAAGATAAATTGATGTTCCCTTTGATTCGCCATTACTTTTGATCAACGTGAAAATCTCATTTGAAATTCTTGAATTGACCTTGCAAGCCCTCAATTTGAACCAACCCATATAGAATCACTCAAGTCTCATTTTACCTTTATCAATTATGGTTGCTTCTAGGCAGTGTTCGCCTAAACGGCCTAAACGGCC